GATATTAATTAATGAAAAAATGAAGAGGGATAATTATTTACGTGTCCTGAATGACCACTTATCGAATTCCGGTCACTGGATCATTGGAAAATCATGTATACTGCAGCAGGACACTGCTCCATGCCACAAGGTCCATATTATAACTGAATTTTCTGGGAATATTRAAGTCAATACAYATGATTGGCCACCTCAGCGCTCTGATCTCAATATTATAGAGAATGTGTAGGCTTACGCAAAAGTAAAACGTAGCTTAGACTTATCAAGAACGCCCAAGGAGACGGATTGCTGAGGTTTCAGGGCTTTATCAGGATGTTTCAATAGAAACATTACAAAATTTGGTTAGATCGATCCCTAGACGCTTGCAGATGTTAAATGAGGGTTTAATTCTTTTTACTATCTTTGTTACTATTACCATTGTTGAGTTTTTGTCTCACTTTATTTAAAAAATATTATTGTCCAGCCAAAGAATGACAATCTGCCATGCAAATAATTATAGAAACATAATGAGTTATGTTATCAATGCAATATTTTGGGCAATGGGTAGAGTTACCTCTCTCAGCACGAAGAAATGAGCGGTTTGAGTTTTTGCAATGTGTTGTCAAAATACTTTTGTCCTCCATTGTATGTTAATTAAATTTTTTTTTCTAATATAATTTACTTATCGAAATGTGTCCTGAATGAATAAAATGATGGAATTCGGTTGTCAACAAATTGATTATATCAAATCTACATTGCTGCAATGCCAAGAAAATATATTTTTTTTTTTTTTATTTCATATTAAAATTGTATATTTTTAGAGCGCCTATGATATAATGACGTTTTTTTTGAATGGAAGCTCCAAAGGATTTATAATTCAAGTTAAAGAAGAAAAACTTACAAATGCTGAAAACACAGAACATTTTTATAGAAATATTGAGTTTCATCCATACCTGTTTTCTCATTTTTTTTAACTACCGTTTAAGGAATATGAAACATTCATGGAGGCAGTTGATGAATTTTTTTTTTTTTTAGAGTCACAAAAAATTGATATAAAAACATTGCAGCAAGAAAGAGAAGCACTTATTTTTTTTTCTAATGTAAAAAAAGATCATACAAAGCGCCTAGAGGAACTTAATAGGGTACAAGATGATGATAAAAAAAAAGCAGAATTAATAACATCTAATCAGTGTTTAGTGGATAAAGCTATTTTAGCAATCCAGTCAGCCATAGCCAGTCAATTATCATGGCCAGACATACAAGAGCTTGTAAAAGAAGCCCAAGCCAATGGAGATATTGTTGCAAGCTCGATAAAACAGTTAAAGCTGGATTTTTTTTACATATCATTATTACTTTCGGATCCCTATAAAAATGAAAACGAAAATGATAATGCTGATTCGGTTATAGTAGATATTGATTTGGCCTTATCCGCATGGGCCAATGCTCGCAGATATTATGATTTGAAGCGCTCGGCGGCCCTTAAAGAGAAGAAAACGATTGATGCCTCACAGAAAGCTTTAAAGTCAGCAGAGCGTAAGACACAGCAAACGCTAAAAGAAGTACGCACTATATCTAATATTGCTAAAGCAAGAAAAATATTTTGGTTTGAAAAGTTTTTTTGGTTTATTAGTTCCGAGAACTACTTAGTAATAGGAGGAAGAGATGCTCAGCAAAATGAACTTATTGTTAAAAGGTGAGTAAATAGCATAAGGAGCTATTCACGGTCGTTCACATTTGTAATCCACGTATAAGAACCACTCTTGATATTGATTTGATAATTGAAGTGCATACCCTAGGGAGTTTGATAAATTATTATACTCATTCACGAAAGTTAAATGAGTATATTGGTTTTGTGCAATGTCCGTTTTGCTGTCCACCCGTCTGTCCGTATGAACGCAGTTGAAGCTAGAGACTAGAAATTTGAAAAACATACTCGTGTATGTCTCCAATTTAAAGTGTTAAAAAAAAAGACTTATCTCCTATATAAGAAAATATAATGATTTTTTCAATTTTGGGCAGTATTGATGCTAGAGACCTGAAACATGATATATGGACTCGGGCTGACCACCTAAGAGCAAAAAGCTATGGCTAGTATATGTCCGCCCACAGGACGCGTGGTAAACCGTAAAAGTTTATATCTTCTACGGTTTAAGGGCTACAAGCTTCAAACTTGGATAGTTGAGTTACTAGTAACCTCCTCTATCGATGACCAACAAATAATTGTTACGCCTCTTTGGGGGCATATCGAAAAATACCGTCTAATTTTCACATTTTTGGAGTAAGCATCAAAATTTTGTCCGTACCTTACCTTAAACTCGCTCTAAGAACTGGCCAAAAATGAGGTGTCTACGCTGATGAGATGTGAATGAGTATTCTGCAGTTGTTAACGCCAAAAAAATCGGTTTATTTTTAACATTATTTATATACAAATATACGTATGTAAATTTAAAATAAGTTCCTATTTGTCGATAATACTACAGCCGTTTGTTTAATATAAACTGCGCGTCATCAGGCTAGCGCCCCCTTTACACACAATCTCAAAACTGAATAAAAGCTAAACCATCAGAGCTTCATCTTTATCTTTTTTTTGTATTATACTACATCTATTTCTCTTTAAAATAAAAAAAACAATGGCTACTGTAGCAATAGGGAAACATTTTTAATAATTTTTTTTT